AGAACCCTTGCCCACAATATTGTGTCATTGCAATATTATTTGAAGGACATGCCACCATCTTGATAATTTAACTTCTGATTTTTATTTTCCATTTATATGTCAAATTCCTACACATTGCTTGCCCATGTTCTCTTTCTGGGTTTTATGTTGTAATAAAATGGAGGAGTTTATGATTAAAACTCTGGACAAAGGCTGTGCAGACTGTAGTTGCCATTAGTGAACTACTGACTCTGCCACTAACTCCAGAGATAACCATGACTGAGTCATTGCATGTCTTTCTGCCTGAGTTTCTAGTTTGTAGACAACAAACACTCTGTCTTCTCCTTTTGCCTGTTGTGTGGGCATACAGTGTGGCAAGTGCTGGTGTCAGGGATGTTCATAATCTCTGCAGTAGTGCCTTGATTTTATCTGAAGCTTCTTGGTATAGCTAATAAATAAACAGTAAATAAAAATGATTCAAGGGCATGAAATAACAAGCAAAGTGGTGACTCTACCTGTTTGTTTGCTTTTTGAGAAGCTCCTGGCCTGCCACAGGAGCTATCAGTCAATAAGGCCCTCCCATCAGAGTACACTCACTCCTTTCTTCTCCCTGTGACTGATGTTTAAGTCTTCTTTTCTTTCCCCTGGAGGGTGGGGGCAATAAAAAATATTCCTTCATGTTAAGGCAGGGTGTGTTTGAAAGTGTTATCTGGCCTGGGCCAGCTCTGGCTTCTGTGCCTTCTTTGCTCCTTTGTAGCCATCTGCTAATCTAAGTACCTCACCCTTAACTAGTGGGATCAAGTTTAACAGCCTCAGAGCCATTGGCAGGCAGAGGGGAGAATCCTTCAGGGCAGTTTGAGGTCCACTAGGTCCACTTTTTGGCACCTAGCACATAAGGCTGAGTCGACTATAAATATGTAGACACCCACCACACTGCTGTCCCAGTAGGGCCTGGGGGCAGAGAGCAGAATTGTGGGGATTTTACAAGGCAGAAGAATATGAAGCACAAAAACCAGTTGTGTTCACAGGTTGACATCCACCATCTCTCTTCTTGTACACCATCTTCTTTCTTTGTCAAGAGCGACACAGCATGAAAGGGGAGAAAGATGTGCTGAGGCTGCAGTAAGCTCTCAGTGTCTCCTACCCCCTTTCCCCTCTTCTGCTGTACACACCTCTCCTTTCATAGAGTTTTGAGTGGAGCAGTGGATCACAGACTGTTATTGGGAAAAGGATCTTGCCATTATAGACCCATCTCCCAGATTACCAATATCCCTTGCATCTGCAGAACTGGGTAGGGAAATTCATAAGAATGTGTTTTTCACTGAGAGATTTTTGGAGACACCTTCCTATCAAGATGTAGTCCCTGATTATAAAATGGCTCCCTCCAAAGCGAGTATCTCCCAGTGAACGTCCCCAAAATTTAAGGCAGGGAGGAAGGGGAAAAGCAATGATTTCAAGTTATCTGAACTCTTTTTCAAGTCACTTAAATTGTTTGCAGGCTCAGACTAGCATGGGGGATGAGTGGAGGTTGTGCTGGATGCCTGTTGCATTCAAATAAATTGCTCCTCTCCCCAGAGCCCCATCTCTTGTGTGCAGCCAAATCATGTGTGTTTGCAGGAGACAGTATGCTTGTGTTTCTCCCACGACCCTGCTGGCTCATTAGTGTTATTTCTGGAGGTCTAGTTTCCACAGTAACAAGCAATTACCATTGTTCCTTGGACTGCCAAAGTTACCACCAGCAACGCAGAGGAAGATGCGTTATTCTCTATATTGGGATAAAATGCCTTCATATGTCTTGCTATTCACTGAATGCCAATCTTGACGCAGGTCCTGTGCAAATAGCACACTCCACCCCCTGCCAATGCTGCTTTTCCTGGTATTAAGACATGCCAGATTTTGAAACGATCCAAAATGATCTCCTCTGGTCTGTGGCTACACTGGCAACGACAGGGTCAGGATTTCAGCAGCAGGATGACTGTACCAATGGGTAGGAATATAAATAGAATAGCTTGGAGGCAGTTCTTTTTGCAATTGTGCTTAGCCCTGTTCTAAGTAATGCTGGCTAGTGACGTCAATGAAATATATACTCTCTGTCTTTACCCTATAGCTTCTACCAGTACTGTGGTGGAGCTCCCACATAGGAGTCTGGTGGTCTTATGTTAGCAGGATCTGTGTCTGTGCTGCACAATCCTTCATCATCCCCAAGGGGCAATGTGTGTGCATCAGCCGCACCCATTTCTTCCATCAGTGGTTTCTCCTTTCCCTTTTACCTATACATTTCACACAGACTGATTCATCTAGAATGGCCTTTAAACCCCATAGAACATATCCTGAATTTCATGCACATATCAAAAAAGTAAGCAGCTGGGAAGCTGAAGGAATGCTAGCTTTTGCAGGCTAGAGAAGTGGGGTACTGGAACGCTGGGGCCACTAGATTAGGTTTCATGGCTTGGAGAGTTTTTATGGCTTTCAGTGACTCCAGTTTCCAAGTATGACTACATATTCTTAAAAGCTCTGGGGCCCCACTGTAAGCTCTGAGCTCCTCTTCACAGGCTTTTCTTGTGAATGGGTGTATCTATGGATCTACATATACACACCCACTTGCCCAAATGACTAATAGTAGGTGTTGGAGGGAGAACACAGCCTTTAGCCTCCATAAACCAAAGCACAAAGTCTTCCTCCAAGGAAGCTGAAGCAAAGAGATCAAGAGAGGCATTTTAAAACTGAGGAACTGCCTTTTGTGAAAGGTCTTGGAAACACCTGCACTGGAGATTTTTAAAACCTGGACTTACCAGAGAAGGTAGAAGACAGTATCCTATCAGGTCACTGTATGAGTGTAGGAGGGTGACAACAAACAAAAAGGGTGCTGCTTTGACAGCTACCAAAATTGTACTGCTTTAGATGACCTTGAGGAAATAAAACACCAACAGCAAACATACTGTCTTTTCATGGGTTGGAGAAAGGGATAGGCAGAGACAATTGGTGATAGGGTCCTTGATTCTTTTTTCTGATTAAAGTCCCACCAAGTGGAAGAAGGAGTCAAACACAACTGGAAAAAAAGGGCATGTATGTCACATATCCATTTTAGAGGCCAGGCCTAATTTTTAAGTATCTCTTAATTAGTAGGACTGAAGAGTTAGAGTTACTCTGTTTTCTTGTGGGCTTACCACTGAGTGAAGGCATCATCAGAGAAAGGTTAAGAAAATAACCTTGGTCATATGAGAGTGGTCCTATCTAATCCAACAAGCTTCTCTTCTCCTCTTTTCTGTTGCATCCTCCTAAACCTTTGGATTTTAGCACAGTCTGTACGATGGGGAAAAAATAAATAAATTTTAATAACCTTATTTTCCACACATAAACCAGAATCTGGTGTTTAGTTCTAGGTGACAGCTTGGGTGGTTCAAAATGAGCCGAGGCTTGGCTTGGTATTTTAAGGAAAATACTCCCATCTCAAAAATAATCTAAGCCTAATCTCTTTATCTGTGAGCTCCAGGGCACCCACTGGCATCTCACCCTTGCGGTGGGGTGGTGTGCCGAGCTGGCCGACAGACACTAGGTGGAAGCCTTGGGCTGCGGTTCCATCGCAGCTGCTGACGGCAGGAAGAAGACTTGTGCTTTCAGAAAGGAGATATTTTTCTTTTCTTCTTGCTTTCACGTACTAGAAAGGGAAGTCCAAGCTCTCCAGGTGCGCAATGGGTGAACGGAGGAATGGAGGAGAAGTGTCAGTCTCATCCCGGGTCCTCCCTGCAACAGGATCTTGTGAGCAGGGCTTCAGTGGGAGCATTGAAGCCTTCTGAGTTCTTGGGTGTGGTTGGGTGGCAAGAATGATTTAATTTATCTTGATTTATTTTATCCTCATTTATATATTCTGATGGGGATAATACTGAGATCTCTGTGAATGCTTAAAAAAGTATTAATATTGAGATGAAAGTGAGTACTGATGGGCTGATTTATCTTGCAACAAATGCTGGTAAAACCAGCTCCTATGAAGTGCATGCTGTATTTATGATGATTGCTTTCGACAAGGCCTCCAATCTTAAAATTATTCCAAATAGGGAGATATAGAGTTAGTACAAAGAATTAATCACAGGTTAAGTGAGAACCAGATGAAACTTAAATGTTCATTTGAGAGAAATGTCAAAGTTTATGATTTTAAGGCTTCTTGTTACTTTTAGTGATAAAAATACTGTTTGCAGTGTGTTCCTAGGAATGAAAAATTATGAACAATTCCATTAGGTACTTTTAGAAAAATAACTGCTATTTTTTTTTTTTGAAAATTAGTTAAATTTCAGTACCATTTCACATATCAGTTGTAATGCAGAGTTAGGTTATGCCAAGTCAAGTCTCATATGAGGGCATGTTATGCAATCCTACCAGCAATATAGCATACCATGAATATAACAATTAAATATTCTGTTATATAATTTAGTACAGGTGATATTTTATTTTCAAAACAAATGATTTTTCTACCAATTAATGAGTTTTCTATCAAAAGCGATAGCAGCTTTTAGTCCGTGCTGAAACAATTTAGATTTTTACACTCTGAAACAGAAATGTTCTGGGTACTAGTTAGGGACCAATTGTTTTTAATATCCTAGAAACCTGATTCCAGACTAATGGTAGAATACTGAACATGTCAGTGTCTCTCATTATTAACTGAAGAATGTAAAAACAATACAAGCAGTAAAATATGGTAATATTTTATCAGAAAATAAGAGGTTTGCTTTCAAAAGTAGTATTTTAATTAGAAAGAAAATCTTGCATTTTTTTCTTTAAGGGAAACTTTTCAATACTGAAATTTTTATTTCAGCCTCCTTTTCCATGGGGATTTTTCATTTGTATTTATAATTTCTTAAAAAAAGTTGATTTTTATCAAAATGGTATTTTCTGATTCAAGACTGTTTCAATTAAAATCTTCTCACTAGTGTGAGCTGTTATGACACTCTCCTCCTCCACCCTCTGAGCTGTGGTAAAAGGGTGAGTGAAGTTATTGATTTGTCTTTCTTTATTTTATTTTTTAGTGCAATGACTTCAAGAGCTCCATGGCTGTTCTGCAGACAGATGCACAATTGTGAAACATCAATATGGACTGCAAATCTCTACTGTCAGTCAGCTCCTCTTCCCCTCTGCATAACATAATCCCTATCTCCACAATGCCTGCACAGATACACATTTGCAAAGATGTTTTTCTGGAGATAGTGTGCATAGCAAACATTCCCTTACTTGTTCTCATCTCTAGCAACATTATATGGAGTTTCAGTTCACAGTTCACTGTGTTCCACCTCCTACCACTGAAATGCAGCCAACTCTGAGCTGTGGCTATTAAACATCACACGAGCAACACCACAAAACAGATTGTGCAAAGCAAAGGAATTCAGAGAAAAGCAACAAATTGAGTGAGGTCTGCAAAGGCTATCTGGGAAGTGATAACAAAGGATCATAGGGAATGAGTTAATTGTGATGCAGAATAGCCATCACTGTGATGTTCAGGTGATACCAGTATGCAAGGATGAGTTTTTGAGGGTGGCACAAAGAGATGTTACTAGGAGCAACCAGGTTTCAACCAGGGAGACAAACAGGTCAGCTTCCCTAACCACTGAGTTTTGTCAGACTGCCAGACTCCCAAGGAAAGGGCTGCAGGCATCATTGCTTGAGGGTTTTAAAACTGGTCCTAGTCTCAAGACAGGACAAGGCACTGTCAGGACAGATGAATAAAACAAGATGGAGCAAATAGCCGTACCTATCCCCACTTTGTATGAGTCTGAGAAAACGACTGGGAGAAAGATGGCAAGGTCTGAAGGAATCACGTGTAGAGAGTTAGAAAACATTGTGAACTGGTGTGACAGTAGCTGTGACATGGCCAGGAAAAAGCTTCCAAAGACAGTGCTCTTCTTTGACAACATGATGACCTTAGAGTGAGAAAGGACGAAAAAGAGGAAGATGTGCAACGAATCAGAGGAAAGAGAAACGTGTGAATGTATGTAGCTGTTTATGTGTGTGTGTAGCACAATAGGAATTTCATTCAGATAGAATAAAGCATTGTAGGTGTCTGTATCTTTTTTTCCCTAGACTAAAGGCTGCAAGAGGGCACCTTGGCACAAAACTTGCACATGAATTCTTGCTGCTTTAGGTAAAATCATGATTGGGGAAGGTTGCCAGACACTGTCACTGAGCATTCAATGGACAACTAAGAAGCAACTGCAAAAGTCTGTTCCCAACTCAAGTTGCATAGCAACAGTAAATCGTCAGATTGCTGTTATGTCAGTCCCTTACATTATCCCCATTATTACAGCCATTTTTAGGAATCACGCAATATGATGTTACTAGCCCACTCCCAACCTGCATGTTTGACCTTTGTCTCTTGTTGAATTATGCCATGTAATTTGCTGCAACGGTGTCTTGAAGTAGCATACTGTAGAGAAAAATCCCTGAGGATCCATCAACAGAGACCTTAGGGAGCAAAGGATGTGCATGTGCAGGATGGGGCAGGAGAGACAGATTAGGGAACAGCAATATCCTCAGAGAAATCTAATGCCTGTCAAACTCGTCAGGATGTATGTTACCCCATCACTTCTCTGAACTGAGTCTTCATTGATCAAATTGAAAGGCTACTTTGAGGAGTGAGCCACAGTTGCTCCTAAGATATGTGTTTCAAATGCTTCCAGTGCACACTTGTGCTTGGTGTTTGGATCACTCCTGTGGACATAGATGCTGTGAAATCCTAAGTTCCAGCTAGCTGTTTCCTGCTTTTCAAGGTAAGCACCTTGTGAGCTGTTTCACGGTGGAGATGCTGAAGCACAAAAGTAGTCACAACATAATCATCCTGTGATGTTTCAGACACTGCCAGTGTCTGAAACAATATCTAGAAGTCTACTTGTCTTGCAGGATATTTCTAGTATCCTGCATAATTTCTTTCCTGGATGTCCCGTGTAGCACAGCATCCTCCTCCCTTTTTCACTCTTATTGCTGCTTCTTTTGCTAGCACAAGATCCTGAAATGCCCCTGCCATTTCTTTGCAGCCAAGGCAACCAGGGTCACTGGATACCAAGGTGTAGCTGGTGTTTGAATGATGCAAATAAACGGAATGAGTTCCTTTACTGCAAACGTCAGACTGACATGGACTTAGGACACCAGGTAGAGTGAAAAGTAACTTAGAGGCCTCTTACACTAGATGATAGGGGAACAGCCTGCTTAAGCAAGTAATTCTCAGTAAAGTATCTCCTTTCTGAAGAGTGCCTAGTTGTAAACTATACCAGCATTTACAAGATCAGCACTGCAAATTATGAACAAGCAAACAGACTTCAGAAGGACAAGATAGACTGCCTGTCCCCTCTGTATAGAGTAATGGAATTATTCTGCTTCATTAAAACAACTGATGAGAAAACAAGGAGCCTCAAGATTCAGTTCCTCTATGTTTCTGTGCCCAGAATGCAGAGCGCACTAATGGCAGAACACCTGGACTAGGAGCTGCAAGCTCGAGCCCCTTTAATATCAAGTCACTCTTGCTTGATATTAAGGGGATTGAGCTCGGACAAGGTCTAACACAGCAGATGATAAATGTCCATGCATGACATTGCTAAAAGAGATCTGATGGCCATGGAGTTACCTTTGACAAAGGAACATCTCTTGAATGCAAAATAGCTTAGCAATCCTTACAAAGAAGGAACAAAAGCTGTTTGTCTGATTTTCACCTTTCTTCCCTTTAGTACTCCCATGAACAAGAGCTGCTGGATGGGACACTCCAAAGAGCTTATTTCTCCAGGAGAAAGTCTCCTTCTCTTTTCCTGTATTTTAGATTTATCTTGCTTCCCCCTGAGGATGAAGGATTTGAATCATTAGTGAGACAGCAGGTGTAGGAGTGGTCACTGGTACCCACCAGCTTTGTAGCTCAGTCATCCTGAGGACCACCTTAAGGAAGGATTTACCCAAGGACCCTGAAGAACAAATAGACTTCAATGCCCTGTAGCTGCTCCACATGTGTTTGTTGACAGCCCTGGTAGTTCAGTGAAGGACTCAGTACTGAATGTTAGGCTGTGTCAGCCAGACTGAAGAGTTTTGTGTCTGTTTGTTCCTTGCTGGCATGGACTGTCTGGAAGTGCAGATACAAGACACTGTTCCATGGGGCTGATTGATGTTTGGTAATTGTTATGGCTTTCTCTTTTTAACTTGGTCATCTAGTTTATGGTGGAGATAGAGCTGAGGGTCCCCACTGATGAGTGAGGATTCTTTTGTCAGACCTTACGCTATAGTCAGACCTCTGGAAGATTTCTCTCCATGTATCTCTATTAGTTTCAGTCTGTATGTGTTACCAAGTACCATCTTTGCAGTGCCTAAGCTTTATTTGACAATCTGAGTTTCCCATGGCCTTTTGAGGCTAACATTTTGCAGGTTAAAATGTGCTGAATAAGGACAAATGAGAAATGCAAAAGAAGTGAAAACAGTCAGGTTTTAAAGAAAATCATCTTTTGTCAGCATTGTTTGCATGTGTGCTCATTTCTTATAAGCATTCAAAGGCTCAAGTTTCTTGTTTCTAGTATATATGGAAAACAAATGTCAAAACTGCATATGAGTACTTTCCATAAATTAATATTAAATGTGCCGACACATTTCATCTCAAAGTGCTTGTACACTCCTCTTGTCAGAAAGCAGAATAAATAATGATCAAAATCACCACCTAGAGCTGGTGATTTCTATCTGTAGATATGAAAATGCTCTACAAGGAAGGTCAGGATCATAGCCTGCAATTTTACAAATGGGACACACTTCCTCAGTAAAGCTACTTGTCTGGTAGTCACAGAGCTTCCACCTCTCTACTGAACCTGCAGAGGCAAGTGCAGATGCACATTTGGTTATTTTCTCTTCTGTCCTTGACTGCTCCATTTAAAAGAAGTCATTCACCCTTTCATTTATTGCTCAGGACGTGAGGCTGTCCATCACAGAATCACGGAATGAACTACATTAGAAAATTGAGATCATTGAGTCCAATCTATGACCAAACACCACCATGTCAACTAGACCATGGCACTAAGTGCTACATCCAGTCTTTCCTTAAACACCTCCAGGGACGGTGACTCCACCACCTCCCTGGGCAGCCCATTCCAATGTCCAATCACTTTTTTTGTGAAGAAATTCTCCCTAATGTCCAACCTAAACCTCCCCTAGCACAGCTAAAGACTGTGGCCTCTTGTCCTATTGCTCGTTGCCTGGGAGAAGAGAATGACCCCTACCTGGCTACAACTTCCTTTCAGGCAGTTGTAGAGAGTGATAAGGTCTCCCCTGAGCTCTCCAGGCTAAGCAACACCAGCTCCCCTACCCACTCCTCATAAGACTTGTACTCCAGACCCTTCACCAGCCTCGTTGCCTTTCTCTGGACATGCTCCAGCACCTCAATATCCTTCCTAAACTGAGGGGCTCTGAAATGGACACAATACTTGAGGTGTGGCCGAACCACTGCCACGTACAGGGGAAGAATCACTTCCTTAGTCCTGCTGGCCACACTGTTCCTGGTACAGGTCAGAATCACTACCCAGCACAGGCTGCCATCCATCCTGTCTGTGCGTGTGTACTTACTGGCATGTATTTTCTCTCTGTCTCTCTTCCAAGGAGGAACTGAAGGCCTTGCAAATGTGCCTTGCTGCTTTCCTTCAGGTCACCTCTGCTTCCGCCTTCAGTGCCCCTCACTGCAAAGGGTCTTTTCTCCCCTGCATCGTTTTTGAGCTGGTTAGAGGCCTCCTTCAGCAAATTTCCTAGCAGAAGAGTCCTGATTGTGTGCTTGTGTATTCTGTACCTTTCCTATTGTACTTGTCCTGTTCTCAGGGCTCTCTCATCTTCCAGGGCAGTCAGAGGAAAATTTGTAGTTCTGAGTCCTCTCTGCTTTCTTTTGTGGGTTTTCCTCCTGACAGTCCCCCAGACTGTGCAGAGATGCAGGAGGGTTATAAGGTGACTGTGTTGTTTGCTGCCAGGGCAGATTTTGATAATGGGTTTTACAAGGTTCCCTAGGAGGATGAGCTTGGTAGTGGCTTAAGAAATGAAATTTAATCAGAAGGGACTTGATCAAAACATCTAACGTGTATCAGGAGAGGTCTTGTTTGGAACACCTCTTCTTTGTGTCTTTCCAGAAACTAGCAAAGGGTAATTCAGAGAAAAATTGGCCAATACAGTACTCAGCTACTTCACACAGTGGTAATTAAACCATGAGGCACATTGCCACTGCATGTTCTGGAGACCACAAACTAAAGTAAAAAATCCCGGTAGCTCCTTGGAATAAGCCACGTTCCAGATTCCTAGGAATTGTTTATTGAGCTACCCTGTACAACTTCTTTTCAAGGGCTCTGAAGACACCACCAGCTCTGACTGTCCCTGCCCAGCATCTCCTGGGGCTCCTCCCACCGTGGCCAGGTCCCAGGATCCCAGCTGCCCAGAGCCTCTGCCCAGTGATTCTGTATCAGGGCTGCTCTCCAGCTCCCACAGCCCTGCCCTGCCTGGTCACAGTCCCGTTGCACCGGACAGGTACCTGATGCTGAGGGATGAGTTTGCTCTTGGTACCCCCCAGATGCCCTGCTCCTCAGGTGAGCTGTAGGGATATCCCTGGGGAGCCTCCAGTCTTCTTAGAGCCCTGGCACTTCTTACACAGTTTGGTGTGGACATTACTAGACTGTTGGCTGCATCCTACTCTATTTGTGTAGTTTCTCCTAAGCCCTCTAAAGTATATACCATCACATACCATAGCCAGTAACATTTTTAAAGTGGATGATTCTCTCCCAATATACTGCTTTTATCTATAGCAAGTGTTACTGCCTGCCAGGATATAGAACTTACTGTGGAGACCACAAATGCCATACTTGGACTAGTAAGTCATTTTACCAGTGCTCTTCCTCTTAAAAGCGATCATTATTAGAAATCATTGATCTTTTCCTTGTCCTCTTAGTCTGACAATATCACAGCTCCAAAATGGGAAGCCTTGCTGTGTGAGCAGAGATACACAGATCAATATTCCTTTTCATGGCAGCAAGTGAGAATGCGTGGTCTGAAGGTAGACTTCCTCAACCCTGTTA